TGGAGGCACATCCTAAAGTATAAAGATTAATGTTCCTACCAAACTAATTCAAGTTTTATATAGTTTTTTAATTGCTCACATCTTCAATTGCAGTGGGAGTTTATTGAAAACTTGTCCATAATTTCATTATGCATGGTATGCCTTTTAATTAACTAAGTTGTTAGTAGAATACAGATGAGTCTCCAATCTGTTATTTTTGTACTGTTAAACTCTGCTACCTATGATTTCTATCCTTTCTAATATAAAATCACAATTCTTTCAGTCTGTCTGGATATATTTTAACATTACATATAGGAAAATATTAATCTACAAAGTATAATAAAACACGTAAGTAAAAATTAAATTGTTCCTTTTTTTTCCCCCTAGCTTCCTGCTATGTAATGACTCAACTGGAAAACAGTTAATTAAGAAAGTAGATTGTAACTTTCCATTTAACATGGCTATACTGGTGTATTATTGTATAAAATATTGTTATAAAGGTAGTTAGTTAATAGGTACTTAAATAATGTTAATGGATAACTTATTTTGGAAATACAGTCATTAAGCAAGTCATTCCTAATAGTCTCGTGACTATGAAAGCTGTTAAATACTCTTGCTTGGATTATCAGAAAGCTCAGCTAGAGAAACTCATCCACAATCCTTTCTGCTTTAACCTTGATCTGCCTGCATTCCTTGACTTGCAGTGATTACACTTCTGCAACTGTGTTGTCATCAAGCTCGCAACCACATCACAATTTGTTTGATCCCTCAGTTTTGGAGACACTGCAATCTTTTCCCTTATTAAAAAGTCTACTTGTTTTATAATACGTGTGTGTATGTTGTGGGCATTGTAATTCAATATTTCAAACATTTGGTTGGTTTCTTTTGTTTGTGTTTCCCTCTTTATTAATACTGCTGCTTAAGGTCACTACTGCCCTTTCTGGAACCCACACCACTGTTTATGAGAAACTTTGTCTGATACTCAGTGATACTCTTAAATTGACGTGACGAATGAGGGAATTTTTCAGAGACTGATGAAACTTCCTTCAGCAACTGTCACCTGAGTTAAAGGAGTTTGGACATCTTCATAAAGAGCACATTTCTTATGGAGAAAGGTTGAGGGGGCTGGGCTTGTTCAATCTGAAGAAGAGAAGGCATCAGGAAGACCTCATCGTAGCCTTTCTGTACTTAAAGGGAGCTTATAAACAGGAGGGAGACTGACATTTTACATGAGCAAATAGTGATACAACAAGGGTGGAAGATTTATTTTGGATGTTAGGAAGAAGTTTCTTACTTTCAGTGTTGTGGAGTGGTGGAAGAGGTTTGCAAGAGAAGCTGTGGTGCCCCATCCCTAGAGGCACTCAAGGCCAGGTTGGATGGGCCCTGGGCAGCTGAGCTGCTGGGGGGCAGCCCTGCTGATGCCAGGGCATTGGGGATAGCTGGGCTTTGAGGTCACTTCCAACCCAAGCCATTCTGTGATTCTGTGAAATGGAGTAATGCTGCTGGTTGAGCCTTTAGAATTTAAATCAGGATGGATAGTTGAATATATAAAAGCAGTTTTTCCCCATAGACGTGTTATATATTTTTAAATTGACACAAAAGGTGCAAGAACATGTTATTAGTTTCCCTAACAGCAGTGTAAGAATCACTTGCATCAGTGACCAAATGAACAAGAACTACTGTTCTTGTTCCCCAGTTCAGCAACTGGGAACTGCAGGTGGTTGTGTTGTGAGACTGGCGGAAGACAAAATGAAGATCTGCATTCCTGAGAATATCATTTTCAATAAAACGTTGTGTTTTAGAGCACTTTGTGGAAGCAAGTCCTTGATGCTTTGCTGACAAGTGCCTTACATAAGCTTCCATCTGTCACTAGGCATAGGAGCGCGTGACCCAAATGGGGGACAAATGTGGGACACAGAGCAGCAGCAAATCAGCTGCCAACTTTTAATAAGAGAGGAAGACATTTGAAGAAATTTGGTATTTTTGTTAGTAGCATTTATCACACAGTGCAGCTGAAGAAAAAAATGGCCAAGTGCTGTAATGGTTTAAAAAAGCCAGAGCTGTTGAAACCCTTGCTGCCTACACATCTAACCCTTATTTCCTGAATGTGTGCCCAGCCTGTAATAGATGAATCAGATCTGTGGTATGGGTCTGAGGTTCTGGGATCATTTAGAAAAACCCTTTTAAGATGTTTTTACTTTCTAAAACGGAAACCCATTTAGGCTTATTGTATTTATTATTCTGTAATAGATTTCCTTAATCCACCTTCCCAAGGGTAAGAACAAATGGACACAGCAGCTGAGGTTACTCAAAGGTTTTGGATCACAATGAAGTTTTAACAAATGGTCTGTTGTGTTGTAAATGTTTGGTTGTAAATGTTTGGTTTCCATAATTTACAACTGCAACCTATTCTGAAACCTACTGATAATGGCAGGGGGAAGGAAATGGTAATATTTCATTTTGTCTAGAAATTTAAATGTAATCGTTTGTCACTGTGAATTTATTCCTTCCTAAGCAGCACCTGACGGATGAAGAAGAACTAGAGAAATTTTCATAAATCCTGACTGCAAGGACAGAGTACTGTTTCTTTTTCTCCTGATTTTCCAAAGCTATCTATATTTTGTAGCAACGGAAATTACTTCACAGTTCTCCAATTAGTGAATGATGAGCTGCATTTAGGGGTCTGAGCTGTTGCGAGTAAGAGAGATGTATGCCATTGACAAAGTGAGTTCTCCCTGCAGGTTTTCCTCCCCAAGCAGCTCAGTGTTGGGTGGAGTGGGTGTCTGCGCCCACACATGAAAAGTGTCAGGAGCTCTCAGCTGAATGGGGAGGAGCAGGATTCTAGCCTAGGCACTAGCCTGTGCTAATGCCAGCTCATTGTGCCATACAGCTGCTCTTTGGGAGACCTGCTGCATGGATGCCGGGTTTGGCTCTCACAGCTCCCCAGTGTTTGATAGCCAGCATCACTTACACCTGAGCTTTCTAAAGTAGAAACTCCCCCTTTGGCCATGTTAAAGATAAACTGATTAGGTGGTTGCCTTATTTGGAAGATCTTTCAGATGTTTAGGTGTTGAGTTTGGGGTTTTTTTTTTTTCCATTTCTTATTCTTTACTGTAAAGAAAAATAGGTTGTAATCTTTTTAGCTTCATGGAATATTTATGTCAGTCAAAGGCATCAGCCTTTGGGCATAAATCTGCCCAGTTAAGTGTATCGTAGGGAACATCACTGCTGAAGTGGGTAATTGCTGCAGGTCTTGCTAAACAAAGTGAAGTTTAAGCATCTGGAACATGTTAATTTTAAAAAATTAATACATACCTTCCAGCAGGTACATGGAAAGGAGGAACAAATCCGACAGCTGTGAGTTCATTTGCTGAAGATAATTATTTATTATGATGAAGGAAAAGGAGAAAGCCTTCAAATGATTTTATGTTTTGCAATTTATTAGTAAATGTTAGCCATTCACAAGAAAGCAAATAAATTACAGTTCACAGATACCACCATCCTCAAAATTATTACTTCAGCTTTGGAAATGACATAGAAAAGAAGAAATGCTGGATGGGAAAATATGCATAAATAGGGCTTTTGTGTTACCAGTTCTTACCATTTTTGTTGTTGTTTTTTTTTTTCCCTATGAAAAAGGGTTATGGCTTGTAAGTGTTAGACTGAATGCTGTGCACTGCAGCAGAGCCAACACGAGTTTTCATGTGAACACTCTTTCCCAGCTGGGCATTCTGTGGCAATGCTGCAAGTCATGCCAAAAGATTCCTGGAGTATGCGGTGGTAACTTACTTCTGTAGCATAGGTGATTTATGGGTTTTCTGAGAGTCTTCCTATAAATTATGTATTGTTTTTTATAGCACAGGGGTAGTATTTCTTCTTTGATGTGAAAGCAAGTGTGTTATTCGCTTAAATAAGACAATAAATAATCCATCTGTTGTCTTTCCAAAACCTCTGTGGTAGCTGACTCACTCACATGTCTCTGTCATCAGCTGTGGTAGATACTTGTTACATGTGCAAGTTAAGCCCTCTTCCAGTGCTTGCATTTCTTCCCTAGAAATTAGTACAGTTTAGGAACTACTTGCAGGAAAAAATGTTTTACAAATTATGCTTATTTTTAAGCTTTCTGGGAAGCTGAGAGGCTGAATTGAGTCTCGTTCAGGTCCATTAAAAGAAGAGCTTGAGTGCTCAACAGCGTGAGAAATGTTTTTAGCATATAGATACATATGTTTCTTTAGACCATAGGTTTAGTCTTATACAATAATGAATTTGTTAGCAGAAGATGTAACTATCAATTTTAATACATAAGTAACAAGAAAACAGATCAAATTAAACATTGGTAAGGATTTCCTGGAAAATGTTCTGTTAAAGTAGAATGGAATGGAGTATTAAAAATTTGTTTGTAGTGCTGATTCCAGAAAATTTCAATACAGAAGTAAAATAGAAAATAGCATTTTGAGTATGCAGTTATTTGTGAATAGGATCATTTCTCTAAAGTCACTCAAGCCACAAATTTAAGTCTTTTACTTGCATTTGCCTGTTTGTGAGCTTGCCTGTTTGTTCACTGTAACTTTTGTTAGTATAAAAGCTTTGTTATTCCTCTTCACAAACATTTTCCATATTTGCATCATCTTATCGTGTTCATAAATAGTAATTTTTACTTATAAAAGATCCATTCCCCCGCCTTACTCACAGATTTTGGATTCTGAGTAATAAAACCACGTAATTGTGGTATATAGACTATTTAATTTCTTTGTAAATACAAGTCTATCACTATTATATTTAAAGGATTGCACATAGTTTATTTCTCCTTGCAACTGGTTTCCTGGGGATTCTCATTCTGCACAAATAAGCAGATGGCAAGCAACAGTACTTTAGTTATGAATTGTTCCCTTTTCTATTTTGGAGTTTAACAAACTTGCTAGTTTTTTTTTGGTTTTTTTTTTGTTGTTTTTTTTTCCAGTGCATAGCTTTAAAGTATTGCCACAATTTAGTTTATTGACTGATTTTCTTTTCATTGGCAGAATCTGAAGAAGATTCAAGAAATGGATAAAGAGACAAGTGATGAATCCAGCACAGATCTTGATGAATTAAAGAATGCTGACTGGGTAATTGAATACTGATTCAGCATCATCAGTAATTTATAAATCTTCACAATGCTTACCTAAAATTGTTTATTAAAGTCAATGTTGATTGAAATCAAGAGTTCTCAATTTCAATCTCCTATCCACCACCTATTCTTCCTCCTCTCCACCCATTGCTACTGTTCAAAAATAGGAGGGAAATGCATGTGACAAGCAGAGCAAAAGAAAATTGGGTACAGAGCGTGTTACTTATTAGACCTCAGGATTTGGAGTCTGTTCCACAATTTCTGTGTGAATTGCTGCTAGAAATTTTTTCAGAAATAATGAAGGCCTAAGGGAAACAAATTTTAGGATTCTATCACTGTTACTGTTCACATAACACTAGTTGTACATCTAGAAGCTTTCTGATGTGCATATGTACTTGAAATGGCAGTTTGGATACATGTTAGGACAACTTTGAAATCCTTTTACTGTATTACTTCAGTGATGAATATCAGTTGAGGTAAGACTGAGTTGCAAAAAAAGTTTTCATAATGGTCATGAGGATTAAAAATAGGGTTATATAAGATAAAAACAAACAAAATGGAGTTTGATTGATGTGTTAGAGTGATACAGTTGTATATATTTGGTGGTGTCCTAAAAGGGGAATGAGCAACGATCTGGGTTGGTATGCAAGCATTAAATATAACTTTACTCTCTTCTCTTCAGGCTCGTTTTTGGGTACAGGTGATGCGGGATTTACGAAATGGTGTCAAACTGAAGAAAGTCCAAGAGCGTCAATACAACCCACTCCCCATAGAATATCAGCTCACACCATATGAAATGCTGATGGATGATATTAGATCCAAACGATATACCTTAAGAAAGGTCATGGTGAGTCACGAGCATTACTAGAATTTGTCAAATCTCAAATGTTATTTTATTTTTTACTTTTTTTTTCATTTCTTCATTTAGATTATATTGATCATGGGTTTTATATGGCATCTTTAATCTGTGTAGTATATTGAGGAGAAAAATGGGAAAGCAACAAAGGAGTGTTTTGTTTTCCATATGGCAGGCATTTAAAATTTTGAAAGACTTTCTTATCACATGCTTGAACAAATTATTTCTGTTGGTTTTATGATAACTGTAATAATCATACCAAGAGTCCTGTCACATTTTCTACTAAGATATTGTTTTAGGCTTCTGCTGGGGAGAACATTTATATTGAGATGCAACATAATTTATGCAATATAAATATGGCATTCCAGAATATCAAGTGCTCTCCTGTTGTTACATGAGTGATAGATACTGTGATGGAAAAGGAAAACATACAGTGTTTGAAAACTTAAATTGCTATGATCTGCTAATAATTTTCAAGGAGTGAATTCTGTAAAACATTTTAAGTCTTCAATTTGTAGAAGTACAGCTCAATTATTTTCAGCATATCCTACCTGAAAAAAAACCAATGCTTGAGCAAATTGGAGAGGATTGATGAGCCACCTCCTAGATCCTCAAAAAGGTACATGTAAGATTGACCTGAGGAACTCTTCTCATCAGGACTCATTTGAAATCTACTGGCATCTCCCAGTTCTTTTGGTTTCTATTGTGTTCAACATTAAGATGTTCTTCCTGATAAAGCAGCAAATGACTTAAAGTGACTTAAAGTGACTTATCCTTACAAGGACATTTTAAACCCTTTTGTCAAAGGCATGTATTTGGTCAGTATCAATATTCATGCCTGCACTTATTATCTATGCCTGTTATTAGTTAGAGAGGAAGCATACTGTTAGAATATCCAGTATTCAACTATGTTTGCATTCCTGAAAAAAAGGTGACAAAACTTTTGCTAGTGAGAAAGCCACATTTCCAGAAGAAAAATTCAGACATGAAAGAAGCAGCAAGCATGTAGTTCTATTAAAGATCACTAGAGAAAATAATGAAGAAGGAAAAAGTTGGAACTATAACCTGGGGAACAAATAAATGAATCCTGTTACAATGGAAGTGCTTTTTGTTGTATGAGATGAAAATATTTTCCTAATCAAGGTCTGAATTTGGACTATCAGGTTTTTGTCTGCAGCAATTTTTCTGGAGCAATTTTCTGTTAAGTCTTTAGGTTAAAATACACACCCAGGAATGCTGTCTATCTATCTTTACACTAACAATTCAGAAAATAGTGCTATCTGCTCATACTGCCCACTGCAAAAGAACAGTCCCCTCAGCTCCTTGATTACTGTATGCAATCAGGATAGTGGCTGTGTTTGAATGGGAACCCCTGGGTCATCTGTTCTTGCTTTTGGCATGCTGGGCTTTAATTCATCTGTTCAGCAGGATCCTGCCTCTTCTGAGGAGATTTTCTTCATTATCTAGTAGGTCTTGGAGGCACAGCTGCTCCCCTGTTCATCCAGTCTCTCACTGTAGATGAAATCCCTGCAAGCATCTATTTTTGTTCTTCTGTCTTGCCTACTAGGTGGATCCAAATTGACCTCTGGGCACAAACATGAATTGAGATTCCAATCAGCTGCAGGTACAGGACCTGTAGTGTTGTCTCTGAAGCAATTGCTGCCTTGGTCTAACAACTGCTAGTGACTTGCCATTAGAAAAACAGCTTCTTTCTTATTGTAAGCTGTCCAACCTATAATCTGGATTCTGCTGCAGGGTCTGCCTGCAGAATGTGCAAAGCACACGTAATAATAATGCAGTTTGATATGAAATATGTGGAGCCTGAAGGATTTGTACAGAATTACAATTTTGGTTAGATGTCATAAATACAGCATCTTTTAGCTGACTGCTGTGGGTTAGAGCTAATTATATGTATTCCCATCGGAGGAGACTGTCATGCTTCTTGAAAAAAAGGAAAAAATGACAAGGACCCCAAATCTGAATTTTAAAGCAGCCTGGGAAACATGGATTATGTTTCTTTCTATCAGTCAAAACAGAGGTTTGGCATAATTTTTAGTAAGAACATTTTTTAATTTTCACTTATGGGTACTATTTTTAGAATTGATAGCTTGTGAAAATGCATGCTGATAATGATAACAAGAGGTAGATCACTTTGAAATAAATAAAATGTAACATGAATTCTTTTCTCTTTGTGAACATAAGGCTGTGTTAAAGAGTAGCATGATCTGTCCCTGGCTGCTTAGTACTCAGGAAAGGAACTGTTATTCCTGTAAGGTGCATTGCTTAGGAACTATTCTGATGTTTCAGATTGTCAGCAGTGTTATCAGATACCAATCACTGGAGCTGTTGTTTCTCATAAGTCATCTGTGATAGAGCAGTTATTCAAAATGTCTTGAAGATGTAAAACATCAAATTCTGGACTTTTTGCAAATAATTGGTTTAAGTAATTTCAGTGACCTCTACATTTCAGTTTCAGTACATATGAAAATAATTCCAAATTCATCATCTCTCTGTCATTCTGATGCAAGAGTCATTGTTTCTCTGGTTGTCACAGGAACAGGATTACTTTCATCCCAGCATTTTTTGTAATCTTTGCATGTTTACCTGAGCAGCTTTAATAGATTTTTTTTTCTCCTACGGAGCTCTCATTGACAGCAAGTTAGAATTGCAAAACAATTGGCAGCGTCTTGAATATTGGGAAATTTGAATTACTCTGACAAATTTACTTTTTCTTTTCTAATGCCTATGTGTAAATCTCCAGCTTTTAATTTCTCCTCCATTCACAGTGAGTTCTCCTTCCTGCTCACCTCCCCCTCCAAGATGCGCGTTGCCCATTCTATTTTTTGAGCAAAAGCAGTTCTTACCTTAGTTTTTCAGTGCATGGTTCTGAGATACCTTCTATATAGTATCCAAACATATTATTATTGCTTAATAATTAGATTCTTCTTAAATTATAATGCTCATATCTCAGTACTAGAGCTCTCCACAGATATCTTTGATACAGTAGTATTAGCTTGACTGTGTTACAGAAGGTGAACTTAGGCTTGTAGACTGAAGTTATTGCTGTCAAAAATATCCAGTCATTTAGATGTCTAATCTGGAAATCCTCTGGCATGGTTGTTCTGGTAGTTTCAACAAAAAAATATTTATTTCATTATAGTATTTAAAATCTTACAGTGTTTAAATTACCTGCAGTAACAGTTATAAATGACATTTCAGACATTTTGAGTGGACATGACGGATGTGAGGAGGCCATCATCAGGGACAACTCCAGCCAATTCATCCAGTTGGGCATTGCAGAAGCTGTTGTTCTGTTGTAAGAATTGTCTTTAGTGAGTGATGTTCAGGTGCTCTAAGCAGGGAGCCATCCCTTTGTCATTATTTGCCTTTGTCACACACTTCTGCAGAAGTTTAGGAGGTGTCCTAGGCACAGCAGTGAGCATTTTGAGGTATTTATTTAGATATTAGTTTGCAGTTGGGGCTGGTGGAATCTGGCGAAAAGATAATTTTGTGTCTATTCTGTATCTGTGCAATGTAGCTCTGATTAGACTTTAATTGGGCCATGAATTTTAATTAATTAATTAAAATATACATGTTAAATTGCTCATTACAGCAAGAGTTAGTTTGAGTGAAGAGATAGATCTAACGTGGACAGAGAAGATAAAAGCTCCCCTTCAGTATCTTTCCCATAAGCATCTTTTCAGGATCAGAGGAGAAGAGAGATTCTGCTCTTGGTGCTCTCGGGTTGTTGGCTCATGCAACCATTAAACATCCACTTGCTTTGCCACCAGCTTCCTTCACGTCCTGCAAAAAACACTTAAGCAGAAGTTATTTTTCTCCTTTTCCAATCGAATGGAAATACTGCTACTAATTGCACTCTGATGGCGTTAAGTCAATGCATAGACTGCCCTGAGGTGAAAGGCTCAGAGCCATGTATTATTTATTTCCTAGTATGATGTGCAGAGAGTTGTTCCCCAAGGCTGGAAGTGAGATTATCAGCGTACAAAATGACTGTTCTGATGGTAATAACTCTCAACTTAAGCTATCAACTTTGACATCTGATGAACAGTAACCTGGGGATGAGAGACTTAGCATTTCATTAAGAATCTGCTGTCCTTGAAGAGTTGCTCAGTCTTTAAACAGAGGAAATCAATCACATCACTTAACTTAAGGTTCTCCTTATCATAAAATGTCTAATCGACACTTAATATAAATCTTTCTCATTTTAATTTTACTGTACTGTTTCTAGGAAGATGACTTGTTGCACGGTTTAGCATCTTGGTTTTCTGTGGCAGACAGTATGAAGTTCCCACTAAGGGAGCTTATAGCATGAGTGGGGGAACATTGGACCATGTCTGGGGTAAGAGAGCTCCAGAACGGATGCCCAAGAAAGCAATGAAGCAATGCAGGGTGACTCTGCATCCAATTCCTTGTCAGAGAAAGGATGAATCTTCAATGGGAGGCTGTCGTTTCCTCAGCCTATGCACTGGGCATGTTTTGGGTCAGCAGATCTGGTGTGGAAGCTGCGTGGCATTGGTGAGGTTTAGTTAGGGTTCACTCAGATGACCATATGGGAATTTAAACTTATTTTTCTGACTGCAGCATTTAGGAGAATTTTATCTCTCCTAAAGAAAGTCAAACCATCTGGCTCATCAAAAAAAAAAAAAAAAAAAAAAAAAAAGATGAAGTGTTAAAATTTAAGACATTTAGTCTAAGGAATATAGTATTATAGGAATTTCTGTCAAACTGAAGAGTGAGACTGTTAGTCAGGTACTGTGTAGTAATGGAAGCCAGAAATATGCGTGGCATGGGATGTTCTCTCATCCCTGATAGGGTGCTTGGACACTATGCTATATAAAGACTGAACCTGACAAATGATTTTTTTTAAGCAAACCCATACCATTATTTCCAGCTTTATACTTCATATCTTCTTCAGAAGATAGAAAAATTTCTGTTGCCTTGTTTTATATCCCATTGTTCTATATATGTATATGTAGTGAATTGTTGTCTCCTGTGATGAGCTGTATGTGGTCTTACTCCTAAAGGATGTATGTGAGGAAGAAATGTCTGTCTCTTCAGAAAAATAAGAGTGAATGAGAACACTTCCCACACATCCTCTCTTTGGGCCTCTTATCTGTACTTGAATGCCATAACATTCTAGTTAATTTACTTTGTAGACATATTGGCAAACCCCACTTGACTCTTGACTGATATTTTAACGTGCACATGGAGAGGCAGACAAGATACATGCTCAGAGGATCTCTCTCCTGCTGGGATATCCACGCCAGGACAGCTTCTCATGTCCAGAACAGCAGAGAAATTTGGTAAACACAGAAAACAAAGGGAGCTTATTTTTCATACATTGCTAAAAGCAAATCATACAATCACATAATGGCTTTGGTCAGAAGGGACCTTAAAGCCCAGCCATCTCCAACCCCCTGCCATCAGCAGGGCTGCCCCCCAGCAGCTCAGCTGCCCAGGGCCCCATCCCACCTGGCCTTGAGCACAGGCAGGGATGGTGCTCCACAGCTTCTCTGGGCAGCTGTGCCAGTGCCTCACCACCCTTTCAGTAAAGAATTTCTTCCTAGCATCTAACCTAAATCTCCTCTCTTTTAGTTTAAAGCCCTTCCCCCATGTCCTATCGCTATCAGAATGTGCAAAAAGTCAGCCTCCTTCCTCTTTATAAACTCCCTTTAAATACTGGAAGGCCACAGTGCAGTCTCCCCAGAGCCTTCTCTTCTCCAGGCTAAACAAGCCTAGCTCCCTCAATCTTTTTTTATAACAGATGCTCCAGCCCCCTGATCATTCTTGTGGCACTCTTAACACACTTCCAACAACTCCACATCTTTCTTTTGTTGGAGTCTTGGATTGGATACAGTACTCCAGGTATTCACGAGGGCAGAGGAGTGGGACAATCCCCTCCCTCTTCCTGATGCCACCTCTCTTTTGATGCAGCCCAGGATACTGCTCGCTTTTCAGGCTGCAAGCACACACTACTGACTCATGTCCAGCTTTTTGTCCACTGGGCTCCCAGGTCTGCAGGGCTGCTCTCTGTGAGTTCTTCTCTCATTCTGCATACATATCTGGGACTGTCGTGATCCAAGTGCAACGCCTTGAACTCGGGTTCAATCTTTGTTTTCATAGTAGAGCTTGGGAGATGATAAGGAGATCAAGAAAACCTCTTGAAGAGCATCAGAATCTAAAAACTGAGGGTTAGAGACTGTGCAGTGGTTGTCAGAGAGTTATGGCTCAAATACATGTTCCTAAAAAATGTTGGTGCCTTTTCCTCCAAACGAGACACAAGTTTTGTCTGCATTCTCCTGCAGCTGTGATTGCAGTCCTAATATTTAATTCCATCATTTCAAAATCCTAAGTGTTACTTACTGATGCTGCTGCAACTGTGGTTATTCCATAGCTACAACTACAGCTATCCACAAAGTTGAAAAGCTGTGATCTAATAAGACTTTTCTCACCTCTGTTCTGCGTATGGATTATTGTGCTGTTAAAACTTGTGGGCTTTTATGTCTGGTGCAGGTGTCAGAAACTGCAGGCTCTGTCATGGATGTCCTGAGTTTTCAGTCTGATCATCTGTGCAAATATGAATGCAAGACATGAAAATATATCTTTTTTTCACTTTCTCCTTTCCAGGTCAATGGTGACATTCCACCTCGATTAAAAAAGAGTGCCCATGAAATAATCCTGGATTTCATCCGATCACGACCTCCATTAAATCCTGTACGTAATCCAGTGTTCTTTTTTCCTAACGAAAATGTGGCTTTGTAAAGGATGTCTGTCCAGGGAATATGTTAAAAATAGTTTCTGACATGGGCTTTCAGGAATACTGAATCGTGTATGTATAATGTGGTCTATTGAAGAGCAGTGTGTGACTGCTTGCACCAACCAGCAGCTTCTCCTGTCGGCAGCCCTTTGTCTCTAAATCAGGAAAAAATACAATTCTCTTTCCAGTTTCTGTGAGTTTTTCAAAAGAGTACACATAAAATCATAAAATAAAATGCCACTTTTTTTTTTAATTAAAAAAAAAATAATCATGACATATACTTTTGAGGAAGCACTGTTTTATGTAAATATAATTGTCTTTATCTCCCAAGGCCTCTGCAAGAAAACTGAAACCAACCCCACCACGGCCACGCAGCCTTCATGAGAGGATACTGGAGGAAATCAAGGCTGAGAGGAAGCTGCGTCCAGTCTCACCAGATGAGATAAGGCGTAGCAGGCTGGGTAAGCACACTGCTAGTTTTTACCAGCAGCTTTCACAGAAAACTTCTCACATAAGAAGCACCAATATCTGTGCAGCAATATCTGTGTAGATGTCACAGAAGATAAAAATAACTCTTGTCCTTTCAGAATAAAGAAACAAAAGGCTTTTCTAGGGCTGTATAGTCTTCATACTAGATTATTTTTAAAAATAGGGTACTGTATGGTTCAGCTTGATCCCATTGTCCTTTTTGATATGTTAGATAAATGGAATTCCATTATATTGCTTGTTGGATATGAGAGTTCATGTTAGATCTGATCAGAATGGAATGGATGTTGGTTCTCCCTGGTACAATATTCCTTACATATCTTTAAGTATTCTTTACATGTCTGTTTTTAATTCATTTTCTTCTCTTTGTTTCCTGTTATTAGCATCATCAATTTCCTCACTCTAGTTGAAAATCTGCTTTTATTTTGTTTGCTGAAAGCATTGCTTCTATTTTAAATCTAAATCTTTGTTTCATTTTATAAGTTACAGAGCATGTTGTTGCGTATTTTCAGTGGGCAAACAATTAAGACTTGTTCTGCAAAGCTGTTCATTTCTGCCATGTGCATTCTACACCCTATTATAAAATACAAATACTACACTTTCCATCAACCATCCATTTGCACTAGTTCAATGGTTCTGACATTGACATGACAAATGCAGCCTTACGTTGTGACATACTTTACTTTAAAAGCTCGATATTTAACTGCATTAGTAAAACTGATCTAGCTGGATTTTTGAAGAGTGGAAGTGGCATCTAATGGTTGAAAAAGCATGAAATAATCCACGTACACAGAATATTTGTGCCTGCCACATGTGCTTAAAGGCACTGATCCAAATTCAAGTGGATTGCAACAACCCATTGTCTCTAAAGAAAAATAGTTCCATTAGTCATTTTGTGCATTGTTCTTTGAAGTGCTTGGTAGAGTTCGTTGAATGCTTGGGTGCAGTTTTAAATGCATGATGTTTTGAATGTCATTTCCTTGGGCTTCTAGCTTCTGCTTTGTACTCAATTAATGCTTGCTGTGTCAACCAATGTTTCTAATAGTTATAGACATTTTTCCAAATGTAGGAAGCTTGTAAAACCCTGGAACGATTCTTTGCTTTTCTTTTCAACATTTAACTTCAGTATTTTACATGTTCTCCATGCCTTGTCAGGGGCAACAAATCTTATTTATTTATTTATACTTTGCAATTTTTTAACAGATATAAATTACATCAAACCCATTTAGTAAACAGTTCCTAGAGCAGTCTTGGATTTTGGAATATTACTGGTTGGGACTTCTGAGTTGATTTCAGAATATGTCCTCCAGTGAGGAGTTCCTGTCTTCCACCAGTTCTTCTCTTTTACAAAAGAAGGAATTCTTTAAGTTTTGGGACCATGGTAAAATCCCGTCAGTCCAATGAATTGTTTAGATTAAAGGTCATATTACTGGAGGTGTAAAAAGGGGATGCATGTGAATTTTACTTTCCAAACATAGTCATGAAGATTTTATTATTTTAATGTGAAATCATATAGATGATTAATTTGCTCTTGGCATAGGAAAGAAAAAAAGAACAAAGAACTTGAAAATAATTGTTATTTTGTTGAACTGTGAGTTTTGGGTTTTTGTCACTTTGAAATTATTGTTTGGCCCAAGTTTTCAGAATAAAATACATTCCTGCTGAATTGAGAATGAAATAGTGCTAGTGACCTTCCATATGTTACAAATAGATCTGCTGTATAGTTTAGGTGGTGGTTAAATGTAATTTAGTGGAGCAAAACGTGAGGCAAAAAGATTTAAGGATTACAAATCTAAGTAGAAACACAATTTGGGACACTTACACCATCTGGACAGAAATATTTGTTGATATTAAAGAGACAGAAATGGAGCATTAGAGTGAAATATATGGGAGTATATGGTACTTTCCAGATTTCCCAAAGTTACTTGTTGTTCACTTTATAGCAGTCAAGCACATACCCTCTTTTGAGTACTGGGGGAAGAGGGCTGTACTCTGCAGTTCCTCCTCTGTAGTATCAGTGGACCCGTGGCATATGCTTCCCAGCAGCCACTGGCTTTGCTCCCTTGCTCTGCACAACACAGGTAAGATCTTCTCCATTGTGAACTGCCACTGAGCAAAGACAGCATCTGGAACAAAGTGCCAGCCTCCAAGCCATACTCATGCGCTGCAGCTGGTCCAGGGCCAGCCAAGGTTGAGCTAAAACTTCTTTGGGAATGATAATTTAATCCTGGTAGATGTAGTTACAAAGGGAGACACTGGGGAGGAGAATGGGAGTGATTTTTTGAATGGCATCATCACATCATCAGAGTAAACTATCAAGACAAACACAGTTTTGAGGTACGTGCCCTTTGAATTGAAATTTGGATTAATGACTTCAGCAAGTTGAGCTCATGGAGATTGGAGAAAATGTTATTTCATACACGTTTTATCAGCCTTCTTTTAGGACTCAGCATTAGGTGATAAAACCCTTATGCTTTAAAATGTATTTGCCTTTATGTTACCTTTGGACAGCAAATTAGATGCTTTTTCTGTGACTGCTGTCTGTGGCTGATGTTGTCTTGGTGATGAACTACAGGAAAAATGCCCTGACTCCTAAGTTTGGATCAGCGTCAGCCACCTACTGTGTTCCCTGCCTAAATTTACACTCGTGAGCAAAGGTTGTCCCAGTGCAACCTTTTTTCAACATGTTTTAATGCAGCAGTGTGTGTGGCTGACAGACCCTTCGTGCTGCCGTGCATGTTTGTCATCCACAAGTATCACAGATAAGCTGACGGCAGTTTTGATGTGTTCTGGTACATTCTTGTAGCTGGGCCTGGCCTGCTTATCTACATCAGTGTACTGAAATTTTGGTTTCAGTTGAGAATATATCGAGTGCCTACTCCCTGAATGACGCTGTGTAACTTGAAATAGGGGTAGGCTGAGCACAGCAGTGGTTTGTGTGCATTTGGGGCTGGGACTGCAGTCAGACCAAAGGGCCGGAGAAAGGTTCAGCAGCTGTGCCATGTGATTTTCTTGTATCCAGAGATTGTAATTTCATGTGCGATTTTTTGTTATTAAGCTGACAAGGAACAAAGCTATTGGTTATGTAAACGTTCCAGAAATAAAGAACATCTGACTGTTTCTTATCAAGAAATAAAATGGCTGGAGGCCCCCAGAGAAGAGGAAAATATGGATACATTTTAAAGGCTAAATCCACCTAATATTTTTTTAAAAGGACAAAAATCAGCACAAATCACACTGCTAGGCCTTTTTTTTTTTCTTTCCTATTCAAGGAAACAACTGCTCAAGCTGAACTTGAGTGTCCCTCTTTATTAGTTTAATTATAATCATTGGAGATTACACTAAAAAAAAAATTAGAAATATTTATTTCAGGTCACTGAAACCTGTGTGAAATGTGGCTTTTTTCAGCTCTTTCTTTCTCTCCTGTCTCTCTTTTTCCCTCTCCTTTCTTTCTTCCATAGCATTTTGGTTGAAAATACTGTGGTATATACTTGCTTCTTGTTTTGGTATTTGATATTAATTCCAGAAATCTGGTTCTATAGTTATGCAAGTATCCTTATTCTTGCTCTGTTTGCAAGTCCAGCTTAATGTTGCTCTAGTTTTCAGACTTGAAGCTTTACTACAGTAAAGCAATACTGTCTGATACATTTTGGATTTAAGCAACAGAATCCAAAATGCCAGAAGTGGAATTAAATCTTTGGTTTTCATTACCCCTCTGCTTTTCTAACAGCTGAATCATTTTCTTTTTGTTGTTTTTATTTCTTTTTTTACAGCAATGCGGCCACTTAGCATGTCTTACAGTTTTGACTTGTCAGGTAAAAAGGTGCAGCAACACCTGACGTGGTCATTGTGCTTATTGTGAAATTTGTTCCATCTGTTTGTTGAATTCCCATGTAAGAAAGAAACTTGAAGGGATTCTTCCAAGGTATGGTCAGTGAAAATAAAAATTAAGATTAATTACTTGTCTTAATACCTACATTTCCTCTGCTATGAAAGTATACCTAGGTACAGGAAACAGCTGTATTTCATCTGAAGTAAAGTGCTGGCATTCTATTTAAATAAATAACCTTACTAAGGTAGCCTGGAGCTATTGCAGATTCTAAAAAGAATACACTGTCACCTTCAAGTCCGGATTGCTTATTATTTATTAATCTGACCTTGGTGTCTTGACCGGCACTTTCTGACTAGACTGTTTCCTGCAAGACTTCATTTCTCATGAGTACCCAAAAACCAGTTTTGAACTCTTCTGCCTTTCTAGATTTAGTGAACTATACCACTAATCTGGAAAGGATCTGTCAATTGTACCAAGTATCTTTAAGTAAATATTTTGAGAGTTATTGAATCAAAGACGTTTGCTCAAAAGAGACTAAACCGTCCTGCTTTGCTGGTTAACAAAGTAACTTGCAAAGATATGCTGGTAACAGCTGACATAGAGAAATTCAATAGCTGATCCTTCATTAACCATCTAATACGAAATGTAAAGGCTTTTCTTAGCGGACCATTAGTTAGGGCATGCAGTGGCTGTACAAACATGTTCTACTTCAGAGATAGCAACTTCAGAGAGAGTTTGTGCCTGCTAGCTCTACAACAAATTTGGTCCTCCCTCTTGTGCACTAACTTTCCAGGCTGCACCCAAATGCTATCATTGAGGCTATTGATATTTTACATTAGCCTCAAAGATTTGTTCACTGAGGAAGTGAACAAATAGTGAACAAAAGTGAACAAATGCTAGCTATTAGCTAATTTCCCCTGGGTATCTCCTGAAAAAAAGAAAAATAAAATCCATCCTCTCATTTTGTGAAGAAGCAACACCAGCTATGTCCTTCCCTTATCTCCTTCCAGTTGCACACGGAAAGATCTCATCCAGGGCTTGTGCAGTACTTTCTTCCTCTGTTTCTCAACCCATCCTCTAACCTCTCTTTCCCTTAGAAAGGCATAATCTGATTGAAATGATTTAAAAAAAAAAAAAAAAAAA